GTCTTTTTAATACCAATTGAAATACATCTCATTAGAAAGTCGTAGAGAGTGTTCGCACAGAGGTTTTAAATTTCCGTCATTATAATTCATTTCTGATGTGAATCATTTTCTAAAATTAATTTATTAATTACAGCAGTTAAGTGTAATTATTCTACCTATTCAAGATTTTTATTATTACTTTTGAACACCAAGATAAATTCAGGGCAGGGTAATTACCGTGGCAGTAATTCCGGCACGTGCCGCCTGCTCTGCCGCAGGACGGGTCTCGGCCCGGCCCGGCTTCTCCTCCGGCCGGCGCTCGCCTCCCGCCCCCTGCTCAGCCGGGCCTGCTGGAAGCAACTTAAAGGCTAGTGTTTTGGGTTTTTTTTTCCCCTAGAAGGAACTGGCAGAGGCGAAGTCCTTGTCCTGATTCCGCTTTTGGTTTGGAGAAAAGCATTCAAGGAATTCAGGGGAAAGAAGGGAAAAACCATCAAATAACCACAACCACGTCAGCGGCTCGCGCGGGGCCCTCCCCGGGGAGGCCGGACCGGGCCAGGCCTCCTGCTCCAGCGCCCGCGCCTGCTGCCCCCGCTTGGGCCGGAACCAGCCGGACCGGGCGCCTCCCGCGGGGTCTGCGGATGCCCAGGCCTGGTGCCCGCCGCAGGCCCCAGCGCGCCCTGCTGGGGCCAGCCAGGGGCCCGGGGGACCCGCCGAGGCCGCCAGGGGTCCCCGGGGCGCGACCCGACTCCTGGGCGCCCGGCTCCAGCCTCCGCGCGCACTTTCTCAAGACTCCGACGGGCCAGCCGCGTCCACCACGGGCCCAGGCGCGTGTCCATGACCTGCTCCCTGTTGTTGTCTCCCCCAGAGCTGGGCCGCGTCCCCCCGGCTTGGCGGCTCCGAGGGTGACCCACTGGGCCGAGGCCGCTGCCCTCGGGCAGGATCCCCGAACCCCAGCAGGGCTTTTCTCGATTTAACTCGCTCTCTCGCCATATGGTCTGTGTGTACCTGGGGCGTTCCCTGGACGCCCCGTCTTCACTCGCCCCCTCTCTGGACCATGTGGTCGTGGTTGTCTTGGAACCGGAGCGTCCTGTGTCAGCCACGGGTGGATCCTGTGTCACCTGTGTCAGCAGGTGCCTGGCTGGGTGATGGATGCGGACGGTGTTGGATATGAAGGACAAAGTAGATAATTCGAGAGCAGTTTGCGTTACCTTTTTTAAGGGAAACTATATTATTTTCAGCAGTATTACGAAATACGCATTTCTGTCAGCTGTTTTGCCGTCCTAGATCAAGAAGAGCGAACTTCTGATTTTACCTATTTTGTTGTTGCTCTGTTTTCTATTTCAGTTGCTATGACTTTTAGCCTCTTATTTGCTTGATCAACTCCTACAAATTGGGTGATATTTTGGTCATTATTTATCCAAATGATTCACTTGCTGCCCTCGTGGCGCCTGTGACGGGAGCTTGTTTGGAAGATGCTTGAGCAGAGGACCTCAGAGACGCTCTCCCAGTGCTCTGCCAGCCTCACCCAGCACGGGCTGAGTAGTTAGAGTGAGTGGAAAGTGAATCACCAGTTCTTGACCCCAGGGGAGAGTCCAGGGAGCTGAAAAGGAAAGCCAGGAGGAAAGCAAACCTTGCCATTGTGTAGCCTTTGGTGTTGCTGTTGTGTGCTTTGTGTTGTTTTTGGAGAGAAGCAGTGCATCCAGTCTTTGTATTTCCTTCGTGGGCTTCCCAGGGAGAACAGAGGGCAAACTCTGACTATGACGCTGCTGAAGTGACCGCAGGAGCCACTGTACTGCGTGTGTCTGGCCGGCTGATCACCCCTGCTCCGTTGCTCATTGTTTCGGGCTCCGCACACACAGCGTCTCTCTTCGTATTTGCTATGATGGGCTTGAATGTCATCGCATAGCTACACCGAAGTTTCTACGGATGAACAGTATCTTGAACGTAAGATGTCCGGATAGCAAAACCTGAAGGCCCACTTTATGGACATAGTAAATCTATTCTGTCGCATAAACACTGCAAAGTAGAAAGATAATTCTAATCTCAAGCAGCCACAGATACATATTATAAGGCTCACGCTGAAACCTCCCAAAGAAAAGAATCCGGCGACATTACGTTTCCTTTTTGCTGTTGGCGCGTCCCTTGTCGTGGTGGCCCCCTGCCTTTACCTCTGCCTCTCTCTGGTCCTCTGGATACTCACACTTTTCAGCTTGAATGGATTTGTGAGGAATTTGTTTGTTTCCATGAGTTTATTGCTTGGAGAAAAGTTGGGATTTTGAAAAGGAAATGTAAACTTCTCCAGCTCAGTTTGACAGGTCTATTATATTTCAAATTTAGAAGAAGTGATTCATAAGTTTCCTCAGATTTTCAGGACTAACCTAGCTGCTTAGCAGAAATTCAGCTTCAGGGCATCCACTTGTTAGTGGGGCTTTTCGATACAGTGAAATTTAAACTTATGAAAACCAAAGGTGCAACTACCGCCATTATGGCCGCTACTGCCGACTATTAATAAAATAATCAGCATTTGACAATGAGCCGAGAGCCCGCGAGATATTAAGCCATGCCGTGACCGCTTTTCATTTCATTTCACTGACGGTGTTTACTTCTCACAAAAGCGGTAAGAAGTAGACGACACATATTTCTATCTGGCGAGTGTTCTCAGCTCTTGACTATGGCTGAGACTTCAAAGCCATGTCTAGCAAAGCAAAGAGTTTATTGAGTGACAATCAGGGGGAGGAGGCCCGAGGGGGCAGAGTCCCTTAGGATGCCTGAGACTCGGGCAGGGGATTCCTGGCTTTAGTGGGGGGCTCCGTCCCATTCTGGGGAAGACAAGTTACTGGTCCATGCTCTTCCTGGTTTTCAGTCCTAACGTGGCAGTGGGTGGAACTGTCATGGCGGTGGGTGGTGTTGCCATGGAGACCTGACAGGCACCCCAGGGTGCTGCTTTATTGCATCCTCCAGGGGCTACTGCTCAAGAGCTTCCTCTTCTTTGTCTGGTAAGTGCGTTCTCCCCTCTACTGTGCTGTGCTCCCTGGCCAAAAACCCAGAATTGTGCAAGAGATCTCCCCCACCAAATACATCAAAGATAAATCATTTCATAGAGGGATTTTCCTTAAGAAAAAAATCTGCCAGTAATAAATAAATCATAAAATATTTATAAGCATTGGGAGAAAAAAATACTCACTTTTAAAAGCAAGTATATTTCTGAAGGCAAAACCTGACAAATTCCGCCTGTACAGAAACAGTCAGAATCCTGACTATGGATATGGTGGGGACTTCCCAAGAGTTATTTCTACGCAGACATTGTGGATGTGGCCGCTCGCAAAAGGGGTCTTTGCAGATGAAGTTTAGTGAAGGACCTTGATGGGAGACGCCCTTGGATGACCTGAGTGGTCCCCAAATCCGTGTAAGAGGAAGGAAGGGTGAGGGCAGTGAGGATGACTGATCTGTGGAGACCGTGGTGCGCCCAGCTCAGAGGGTCTCAGGAAGGAAGAAGGGGCTGGAAAGGGTGGGTGTGAGGAATTAGACCCACGAATTCAGCTTTAATAATAGAGTAATTGAAAAGGTTCACATGCGTGTGCTTTCTAAATATCACTCGGCAGATGAAGAACCACCAGAGTTGTCGTGTCTTAAAATAGACCAGTTTGTCAACTACAAATTGTCCTCTTGGAAATTACAATCTGGTTCAAGCTCCCAAAAAATCAAATGCGCCTCTCAAGCTTTCCTTTTTATGCCTGATACTTGTACTTGATCATCTTTAAATCTGTGCAGGTGACTTAAAATTAAAAGTGGGGAAGTGGAACCCAAATACAGAGTGATTATTACTTTCAGAAGAATGTTTGCAGAGATTATGGGATCTCCAATTTCAAAATATCTGGGTCTTCATCCTATTAAGATATTGTATTAGTAGGACTTTGAGTCAATGTTGATCTTTAAAAAAAAAAGACTTTTATTGTAAGGCCATGAAATATGCTTTTGTGCTTACCTAGGAAAGGGAAGGTTGTCTATAATTCCACTCAGTTAAATGCCTGAAGACCAGGTGAAATCCCAATATCTCAAAAAGTGTGGAATTAAACCATGTCAAAAGCTTTAAAAGAACTTTTAGCTTAAAATGGTGAGCATGTCACATCCTATTCATAATGTAGCAAGATTAAATTGCACATTACCATCTAATGGGAAAAAAGGAAAAAAGAAAAAAAACTTGAAAATAGAATAGTCTCTCATTATTCTTATGTTTCCTTGACTCCTGTTCCTCTAGGACATGTGAAGATATTTAGTTTCATTGTTCTCTGAGTAGCTCATGAATATTTCAGTTCCAAATGGTTGAGTGTTCTTTTACTAGTCCATTTAAATTGCAACACAAATATGTTTTTTATGTGTGTTGCTGGGAGACTTGGTGATTTAGGGTTGTTGTTTTTTTAAACAATGAAGCCGTCGACTATAGGGTCTAGAACAGTTATGTCTATTTAAAATTGCAGCAGAGTGGATCTATCACATGTTCCCATGGATACTTAATAATGAAATAGCTATTTTATTATAATGCTCATATGGAATAATCGTTTCCAAACATTCAAAGTGTTCCTGCACATACAGAGATTTGCCACAACTCATTTTTCACCGGCTTTGTGCGTCTTCACAAGCGTCTTTTCAGAGGCCTGGGAGGGCGTGTGGAGGGGTGTTTCCCTCCCGAGGCTCACCTGGACGCAGGTGTGAACTCTCACCACGGCGATGGCTCTCAGCCCTGACTCTGTGAATATGGGAAAAGGACGATCTGACCGAAAGCCATTTAGTAAATATGTTTGTACACAGAAGCCATGCTTTGCTTATCTCTAGATGAGTAAGTTAGTCCTGAGGGAAGATGAGAAAGCAGATATTATGAGGTCATGTGGTTGGTTATTCGTCTAGAGCATTGTGGAATTTATCAAGTGCCTCTGAGGACTTTTAAAAAAACCGACCATCTTGACGGACATTGTAAGCCCAGACCCCAGACACATAACCCAGTGCATTTTGCTTCTCCACGATTTATATTTAAATACAAAGAAGGAAAAACGGCTGACAAAAATGAAATCCCTGCAACATCCCAAGACACAGAGACAAATTAAAATCTGGAAATGAGAAACATATATGCATGTTTGCTGAAGTTGACTGCAGCTGTGAGATGCTCCCGCGAGCTCAGTGCTTTCCAGGTTCACCCAGGAGGCCCGGCAGGTGAAATCAGCAGGACCAGCCCTTCCCGTGGGATGGTCAGAGATCTGGGAACGGGATTATCTTCTCTGATTTAAACGCTCTGTGAGACTCTTAGCCTCAGGCTGTAAGATGAAAGGGAAATGACTTCACAGCAGTTACACGTTATTTAGAGATTAAAAGTGTTACTTCCTTTCAAAAAGCAAAGGTTAGGGATTGGTGATCTCCTTCAAGGCAGTTTCTTGCATTTGTCAGTTTGTAAGAAACAAACTGGTCTAAAAGAAAATCATTTGGGGGAAGAAAGTTCCCAAAGCTTGTTGAGGTTTTTTGTTGACTCGGGAGGGGAGGTTTTAGTGAGGGAGGAAGGCTTGTTAGTGGACTCACCAGCACCTGGCCAGGGGGACCCTGGGGTGCTGTTGTGTGCATTCCTGTGGAGTAACTCCAGCACCTCCTCCCAGCCCTGAGGGCCAGGGGCCTCCCAGAAGCCATTTTGTTCAAACAGTCATGACTAAGAGCATCGGAATTTCAAAATCATGTACAACATCTATGTGTTCGGTTCCTAATTCTGCAAGCAGCTTTCCTATTTACATTTTATATATTTATTTATAAAGTTATATGTAATTTTATGTATAAATCTTACATATTTATGAATGTAGGTAAAGCAAATTTTAAAGCAAATTTTAAAACCTAAGTATGTTGCTGTTGAAGCCGATGTGTGCTGTTACCGTGATTTAGCTGCTGCTGCTGGTCACCCTGTAACACTTAACTGGCCACGAGATCTTGTCTCCCGAAGCCCTAAAAAGGAATTCACACATTTATTTCACTGAAATATTCATCTAGATAAAATGAAATGAAATTTCTTAATATGTTGGTGCCCTCAGAGCAGAAGACAACCCCGGGATGTTTCCTGGGAACCCGCCAGGCCGGTCGGCAGGTGCCTCTTCCCCGGGCCACGTGCTGGCTCGCACCCTGTGGGCCAGACCTGCTAACTGTGACTGGGCCTGGCGGCCTCGGCCCTCCCGGGCGTGTTGTCCACGCTAGAAATGTCTACCCTGGACATTTTTATTCTCTATTTTATTCAGGAATTAATTGGTTGAGGCCCGGTGAGTGGAGTCACATCCTGTCTCCGCAGTGACAGTTCTGGAAACGGGAACCCCCAGGATGTGTGGGGGGCAGCAGGTGGCAGAACTTGCCCACTTGGCCTTGGCCGGGGTTGGGGGGTGCATGGGGAGGGAGACTATGGTACTTTGGGCACCTGAGAATAAATGGACTGTATTGCTAGTAGCATTTATAACAGCGGGGGGCACGGACAGCGACCTGGCATAAACACACAACGTGCTGCCTCCCTGCACCCAGAATCCTGCACCCAGAACCCCGCTGTTTGGGTGTCAGCACAACTGGGGACCCAGTAGGAATAACCCGTTTATCATTTGAGCATAAGATTTAACGAGACAGCGCTTTTTATCAAGGCTTTAAGTACATTGTTTTTGTTACGAATGAAATAAAACTCTGGGGATTTTATAATATTGAAGCCGGTGTCACTGATACTACAAAGGAGCACAGACGCTTTTCTGCCAGAAGACCTGACGTAGCACCCACGATGCTACCAGCTTGGCGTTGCGCTCCCTCCGGCATCCCATAATTAAAACTGATGAAGGAAGCTTGCTTACCAGGACGTGACCAAACCAGAGCTACTTATTTTATTCTCAAGTATAGTGTTTTATTTGCTCCCTCATAAAGTCTCATGAACTAGATTGAAATTTGAAATGTGATCCTTCTCAATTAAGGTTTTAAGAGATTATTACATAGGGGAAGAACTATTGTTTGTGCTGTATTTGAGATTACTGATGTTAATTCAGATGTGTGTGATTATCATCATTTTCTCTAAGTTCTTTATTTCTATAATTAGTAGAAAGAGTTATACGTGCTCTTTTGAAGCCACTATATACCATGTCCAAATAGGCAGATTTAAATATCTAACCTGCAATTGATTTTTTAGCAGCAATAAATAGACCCTTTTAGTAGCAATTTGTGGACTCCACACACATCATTTAATAGACTTACTGCTTACAAGAAAGCAAGAGGACAGATAGGACTTAAGGGAAAAAGAGAATTGAGGCAAGGGACGTGTTTGGCATTGTTAGAGGCAGGATGATAAAACCTCAAAGTGTAACTTAAATAACAGCTTCAGATAGTTAAAAAAAAAAAGAAGAAGAAGAAGAAGAAACTTCAATCTGCTAATCAAATATCTCACAATAGTTAGTGAGCCTGACAGAAAATTGTCTTCTTAGTCATGAAGTACATGCTTAAAATTTAGTCATAGGCCCGGAATTGAAAGTAAACATTCTCTTGAACAAATCAGGATGAATACCAAGCATTTGCAAACTCTGCTCTCCTCCTGGAAAGCACTGTTTTAAGTGTTCAGTCTTATCCAGCAGACATGCAATTAGCATATTCCTTCAACTGAAGAAAACTTTTAAAGATCCATTAATTATTGTTAAATTTTCATTATGCTGGAAGCCTTGGGAATGGGAGGCTTGGACGTGGAGCTATAATCCCGAGGTTGAAAACCATGACTGTTTTATTATCTCTGCAACTGCGTGAGACGTTTCAGAAAAAGTTTAAGTCAGTTCTCGAGGGAGGGTGTGTGTTTCCGAGAGGACGGTGATTTTTTTGGTCACCATTTAAGCTTCATCTGGTTGCATCTGATGATGAGATTTTTGTTCTTCGGCTGATTGTTGTTCATCACAATTCCCATGCTGTTTACTAACCCTGCATGCCGTCCAGGATGTTTTAATCAATTGCATCAGAATATGTTGACTTTTAAATGGTCAGTGACTTATGTTAGTAGCCCCAGCCTGGATATTTGAAATGGTGATCAGATACTGCTTGAATCTTCACCAGTCTTTACCCTGTGCATAGCAGTGAACTATATCTCAGCCTCGTGTTCCTTGGACAACATGAGGATTATGAAGCTTCCACCCTCTTGAGTTCTAGGAACTGGTTTCTTGCAATGAACCACCCTTCCCAGTCTGAATCAAGGTCTGACCCCTGTTTACCTTCTCAAGGCCAGGCACAGACCTGCGCTCCTGGACTTTGTCACATAAATATTTGACTGACTCGTGTATCCCCTGAACAATGTAGAAAAATGCCTTTAATTTAACTTGACCCAAACTAGCTAGGCTTCTCCCCTCCCCGGGCTCTGCCTTAATTAGCCCCTGAGAGTAAATAAGAGTTGCAACTGAAGGCCTCTCATTGGCCCCAGATGGGCTCACCTGACTGGACCCTGGCGCACCCCACCCAGCCCCAGCCCGGCTTGCACCTTCCTAGAAACCTATTCCCCATGGTACAAGGCCACAGGCCACAGCAGAGCTTCCTTCATGGCCCAGTTTTGGGGTGGTCTTTCTTCCAGGTGTGTGTGCCCAGTTTTTGAATGTCGTGACTGGACAGAAAGCTGATGTCCCTGGGGCCCCGCAGTCTTGGCTCAGGTACTGATGCCCATTTCTTGGCCCTTTGTGGGCTGGGGGTGTCTGCTCCACGTTGGGTCACGGCCCAAGCCCACTGCTCCAGGGGTCTCTCCTGCAATGTGCATGTGGTGCTGCTGTGACTCGTCCAGGCAAATGCTCTTCTGAGGCTCTTCTGTGAGACCTTGCCTGGCTTTCCCTTGCTACTTTAATGGGGCCAGATTGAGGGTGTGCCCTCCCAGACTGAGGGTGCTTCTTCAGCTCCTACAGGGAGGTCTGCACTGGGGATGCGGTACAGGCTGCTCTGGGCCTGGGATGGGCATCCTGCCAGGGGCATCCGCGTGGGGCCTCCCCAGCCCCTTTAAGAGCACACAAAGAGCAGGCGCAGTAATCCCAGTCTTGGTGGGGCGGCCCCATGTCTGGGTCAAGGGCTCCTTTGCACAGGCAGCTTCCCCACCAGTGTGCGAGAGCCTGTGTGCCCTCGGGGTGCTCCCTCTCCTCACTCCCCGTCAATGAGAAGGTAAGCGTGGACCTGCAGCAGGTTGCACGTGAGACTGGGAACTGCCGTTTCTAGCCATGCCCGGTTCTGTCTTTCTATAGGAGAGGGGTAAACATTGGTTCACAGTTGTGCGTCTTTGTCCAAAGCCAAACACTCAGAGTCGGAGGCTTCATGGTCATGGCAATCAACACAGAGAAGCGACACCGGCAACTATGGGTGTATTTTCAGCATCAGTTCGACCTTGGATCCACAGGAAGGTCAAAGCAGGAGACAGGGAAGAGGCATAATGGAGGAAGGCCTTGAGATGCTTTGATCTGGCGGTTTGTGCAGGAGAGCCAAGAATTTAACTTGGAAGTGGCTGGGCTGAAGGCATGCAACAGTGACACCAGCGTGGTTCCGCTGGTTCCGCTGGTTCCACTGCATCGGCTCCATTGCTGAGTGGAGATGCAGGCATCTACCAGGCACCAGAGACTTAGCACTTCAACCTGAGACTGGAGTATTTGGGAATTTCTTTACACAATTAAAAGACAAAACGATGGCAAGCTTGAGCAAAGATAGTTTGTTCCCCTAAGTTTGCAAAAACTCCATCAGAAAGATAAAGGTCAAAAACTGTATTAAAGATAAAATAGAACAATAATCTTCTAATTTGCTAGTTAAAATGAGCATAATTTTCAAAGTCCAAGAACTATGCTGTTAATTAACATTGTGGCTCTGTTATCTGCTGAGGTATAATCTTCCCTTTGACCTTATCATCAAACCATCATAAAATATTGAACTTAATCATATCCTCAAACTTTAAGAATCTCAGTATGAAATGCTGTAATTTCCCCCCCAAATCTCACTAGAGCCATTTTATTCATTTAATTAAAACTAAAATTATACTCAATTGTTCGTTCATTTATTTTACCCATTTTAGTAATGATCGTGACTCACCACTCTTCTTGTCTTCTTAAATATTTCTATTTATGATTATGTCAATAAAATGTCAAAATAACCCATTTGGTTAGGAGATAAAAATAAGCCTTCAGATGTTATTGAAAGGTTATGAACAAAATGTTTAACTTTTTTAAAAAAATGAAGTTCTCTGAAGTATATATGCAGATAGTCTTTGTTTTTCAAAACTAGAAATACTGACGCATATCAGTGGGATTTTGGTGTCTGATGAAATGGAGGCCAGCGCATATGTGTGGGAGCCTTTATGATTCACTCCAGAGAAATTACAAACATAGAAGCATAGAATTGAGGGTCTCTTGTAAAAGAGTAAGAAAACCTGGGATTTCAAAGGCAACCATGAAATGGGGTGTGTGTGTGTGTGAGAGAGAGAGATAAAGATAGAGAGAGAGAGAGAGAGAAGAGATGGGGGAACTGGGGAGAAAGAAGCAGAGAGAGAACCCTATGGATTAACGTCCTTGGAGGGACATGAATGCAGTGAGAAGTTAAAATGGGCAGAGTTTTAAAATTCTCAAATCAGGGCCAGGTAACGCTGAGAATGCCAACGTCTGCCACAGCCATCGTCACAGAAGCCTCTAGCCACCTCCTCCATATTGCTCCTGCTGGCCTGAATGACCAATGGAGCAGGTATAGGATAAGCAAAAAAGTCATTGTCCCACATCCACCTCTCTCAATCCAAGTTCTGGTGACATGGCACTTAGATAGAAAGGGTTTTCTGAGAACTTCTTTCTCTAAGAGTAATATTTTTAAAAAGTGCTAATTTTCTCCCAAGATGTAATCAAACTTCCCTCTAGTGATAGAACCATCTGAATTTTAGAAGTGGACAGGTGTGCCCAAGCAGATACTATAAGTCCTAGCTTCCCTTGCAGCTAGGTGTGGCC